ACCTTTGCTGTCAAATAAATCTCAGTTCAATCTCTCTGCTGCTATAGAAATGGATTTGTGATGGTAATTCCATCCATGCAAAGTAACACGAGGAGAGACCCCAGGTGGGGCCTCGAATCTAATCTCCACAGGCATGGTCTCTCCGGGTGCCAGGGAGAAGTAATTATCCGAATAGTGAACAGGTAAAATTCGGGTGTCTTCTCCATCCCTCACTTCCTTCTTGGCTGCATTAACTGAAAAATGTAGAAAGAAAGCAACCCCTGAATCCCCCCCGTTTCTTTCCGTTACATGAATACTGTTGTCCTCCCTTGAAAAAGAACTCCGAATTCTCCTCAAAATTCCATCTCTTTTCTTTACTCTACCTTCCTCTTCTAAATTTATGGAATTTACATCAAAGTCATTATCATCCTGCTTCATTCTATCCTGAGCTCTGAAATCAATAAAATTTATCAGGGATTTCGTGTTTATTTTTTCAGACTTGTTGTGTACGTGCATCTGCATTTTGTAAGTTGAGCCCATGACAAAGACTTGAGAGGTTATTTCGAGTGGGATTTGTTTGGATTTGTAGGATTCCAGTTGCTTGTAATTGCCACCAGGAAGATGCAACCAGTAGAAATTTCTTGGAGAGAATAGCAGTGTTGGACTTTCGGAACAGTTTAAGGTTGAGGAAGTAGACCGGCTTTGCTCTTTTTGATTTTGGGTATCTCATTTCAAAGAGTGAGAAAGTCGTTTTAGGCGGCACCGTGATGGCATCGCTCACTTTGTAGTACGGGGCTGTTCCTTCGAGATCCCACACTGAAGCTTCAACTGCGACATCAGATAGTGAATCTGATGTAGTGTTTACGACCTGGAAGGACAAAACGTGAATGGTGAATGAATGACAGGTTGTGTTCAAATCCATCAATTTTGAGAAAAAATGTGTTCAAATCCATCAATTTTGAGAAAAAAAAAGTGAAAAGCACCATAATTACAATTTCTGCCAGTAGGGGTTATTGGCAAGGTAACTCCTTGAAATTCAAAAAAGAAGGTAATTCTTAAGAGAGATTTGATTGTATCTCAAGTAATTCCTCAGGAGACCTCAAAATTTCTGCAATTTTTTTGGAAGAGCCAAGTAAAAACATGACAAAGGAAATATTAAGCAGAGAGAGAGAGAGAGAGAGAGATAGTCATAATTTCCATATATATTTTCGTTCAGATATATGTTCAATAGAAGCCATAAATTTGTCTTTCAAAAATTTACTTCCATTTAACCATACATGTCTTTCTTAAAGAAAAGCACGGGGAAAATCAAATAAAACAGGAAAAGATCTCAGTATACTTACATTTTATGGTATTATGATATTTCTGCAAGAATTTAAATAATAAAGAGACTCTTTATGGCTTCTATATAATGGAGACAATCCAGGCACACAACATACCTCGATCACATAGGTGGCCAGATTAAGTTGGACATGAATAGGTTCTGCAGCACAGCGGCAGCCATAAAACCCCGCTGTTTGGTCATGGAGATGATCATAAAACTGACCTCTAAGACCGGTCCATGGATTCTGAGTCTTCCATATTAGAACTCCAGTATATTTGGTCCACATTCTTGAGGTCCACCCTTCAAGTAGAGCCCTATACTGATTATAATTCACAAGCTGCGCCTGAAGTTCCAGTTTCATATTGTTAGTAATAATTTTCATAAAAGTAGAACACTCAAGTCGTAGTTTTGAAAAATACTACACTCCAACGGGCATTGGAAAAGCATACTCCAGTAGGGTCATGACCACTAAATGAAACGACCCAATGGTCGGTCATGATAGGATCATGATGCTGTGTGGTGTTTGAACCATCAGAACCAGACCGCATAATGTACCTTGTAGTACCAAACAACAATCTCATTGAACTACAGTATACTCATCCTTCAGGCAAAGGGAATGTATTAAAAAACTAACTATAGTTAACCCTATGTCATCACCATCTGATAAAATGGACGATGATGGAGAGAGAGAGTTGATTCCACAAAACAGGGCATGCCTAGAATGGTGGGCCCCACTGCCTCTCCCGATGGATTATTATGACCCCCCATCGATAGTGTTTTTCCATATCTCATTTGTTTACGATACTGCTTTCCCTCATAGAAATGGGCTGAACTTTTACCTTCTCACAAAAATCATCCAGGTCAGTTGGGGTTCCATAGAGCTCGATCTGGTCGTGTACCTTTCCGGGTTTCGAGTAAGGAATATACTTGTGGTAATCCCAAATTGGGTTTGGTATTTCTTCTATGTAACCATCGGGCAGCTTTTTGAACAATGGGATCTGCCACCCTTCAGGAGGCATTGTTGCCCTAATAGTTGCTGCAACAGGGATTCCCACAGAGCCAACCTCTGGGTTAAATCCATAGCTATAAAAGTCATCCTTGAAGAAATTTTCAGGGTATTGGATTTCATAAGGACCATCAGTCCAACCACCTTGTCCATCTCCGAAGCCTTCCCACAGGGATCCTTCTATATACACTCGTGTACCATCAAGATATTGACTGGGATCCTCTGCTGAACTTTCTAAATATTCTATTGAGTTATTTTTTCCTCCACTTGATGGGAAAAGTGGGTGAAGCTTGAGGTCATTCTTCAGAGCACTGTTAATATCTTTGGGGGTATTTGTTCATTTCCTCCAACCCAGAGAGCCAGACTAGCATGGTTTCTTAGTAGTTTGATTGTGTCTCTTGCGCAAGTCAGGAATAGGTCATGGTCTAATGGTCCCTTTGGATTGGAAACGGGATCACCTCGTCCATCACAATCTCCAGTTATCCAGAACTCTTGCCACACCTGCAGAAAATGGTTTCCTCAGTAATGATGAGAAGCCTGCTATTGACTTCTAATAGATTTTATAGTTGGGTTCAAATAGATTTAACAGCCTTTTAAGGGTTCTAGACAGGCACCAGAAGAAATGTTCAAGATATGCAGAAGTATGATGAGAATGTATCCACTCTGAGAAGAAAAAACCCATGCACGTGTAAGCATAACTATTAATCAAAACATTGTATATGGTGTATGAATAACCATCAGTAACATGATGTGATTCAAAAGATCAATCTCTAGATGGATCATGTTGCCATCCAGGCCAACAAAGACTCAGATATCTTGGTTGATCTAGCCCAAATTTCACAATATTTATTGTGGTCTACTTAAATTCAGCAGGCTTAACTTTTTCCAAACTCGCCATATATTTTTGTATTCGAAGAATATGCTTTTATGCATCAACAACACACACAATATCATTTTTTCTGTTACTCCCTGAACATTTATTTTTTCCGGACAAAATATTTTGAACTTTATCATGTTCTTCATTTGGACTGCATCTGATTATAGAAACTCATTAAATATTGTAGAAAATTGATTTCTCAATTTCCCAAAAACTCTCAAATTGCCCTGAGCACTTTCTGAAATCAAATTGAATCTTAATATGCTTTATGAATGGGGAGAATGCCCCTGTGAATAGGTGTGGCAGTAGTTCACAAATGGGTTAGCATATTGTTGAGCAATTGACACAATGTTTCTTGCCATATGTAGGGCTGAAAACAGGCTGGGTCCTGTCAAGAATCAGGCCAGGCCTGTACCTGGACCTGATCCAGCGAGATCCAGGTTGATCAGACTCAATGCAACCCGAATAGTTCCCGGCTGGACCTGGACCCTGTGGGTCCAACCTTCTAGGACCCAGACCCAACCCACTGGGTCCATTTAGGGGGTCCAGACCAGGACCCAACTTGAGTCGATCTGACCTGATTCTCACCCCGAGCTTTACGTGGTCTCCAGATGATGACTAACGGAACATACCTCCCTTTTTCATGCCTTCATTACTTCGTGTAGAAATAAAGAGAATTCAGAGTCAAGGGAAATACCAAGCAACCTTGTTAGCATTAATGATATTTTTATGTAAAAGATAGTGGTATCCTCACAGGAAGAAAGAAATAAAGACGGCATAAATTGACAAAAGGAAAACAAAAACAAAAATAAGAACCTTTATAATGCAGTGTGCAAGTGGCCAAAGAGATGTGACATCCCACATCTAAGGCCATAAACCCTAAGTCTAACCCATTCAACTATGGGCTGCACTTATCCAAAAAAAAAAAACTATGGGCTGCAGAATTATTTACTCCCTTTGTCGTCAGAATTTTCTTATATGCTTGAAGGACAGAAATCACATTTATTTTTCATTGATTTATTTTCTTTTAGAAGTCAATAACTAGAAGGAGCATGAGGAAAAAGACAACTTCATCACACAACTCTAAGTAAATTATAGTTGCATTCTAGTGTTTTAGAAATAAATATAGGATCATGTGCACAGACCAGTTGACAAGTAGTTCTTACCATCAAGCCATAAACATCACAATAATGATAGAATTCAGGTCTCTCAGCTAGTCCTCCACCCCAACAGCGAATCATGTTAAAGTTCATATCTGCATGAAATTTTATGTCGGTTTGGTACCTTTTCCGCGATAATCGGAGCAATCCATCAGATAATATCCAATTTCCACCACGGATGAACACACGTTGTCCATTTACCGTGAACAATCTGCATACATTTGTGAAAACTGGTCACTAATACATGCAAAGATGTGTAATGCGCAAAAGTACTATAGCTACTTCACATAATCCAACAGACAATTAAAACCTTCCACCAGTCTTATCATCTATAATGCTCTCAATCTTGCGGAATCCAAATTGATGAGTCCATAAATCTGACTCTCCATATCCCTTGACATCAGCAGTAATTTCAACTTTGTATAGGGATTGTTTACCCATGCCATTTGGCCACCACAAGTTGGGCTTGTAGAAAAAAAGCTGGAGAAAAATCTCATGTCATTAGTAGTAGATCTAGAACATTCAGAAACATTTGTGTAGACAATGGCAATTCATTGCTTCTACTGACATAAGGATAGATTAGAGAACCTGTTAATATAATCATTCAACCCCATTCAACATGAGCATAATCATAATGATAGAGCGCTAGAGATTTCATTCCATAGATAAAAGGAAAATCTGTTTTGATTAATTTAGTTTTTAATTGTCACTAGTTATAAAGTTTTTCTGGTTAACTTGTAGAGTAAAAAGAAATCCTTGGATCGCATGTCCTACAAAAATTTTGGTGTAAGTAGAGACAAGCTGGGTGTATGATGTCTTCCAGCCTTAAATTTGTGTGCAAACATTTTAAGAAATAGAAAGGGCCATATACAGGTATCAACCATGGGCATTGGGTTTCAGGAAGGGTGAGTATTTTCAAATAGTTAAATTTTGGTAGGACATTGAAGCTGACATAAGGTATCTTGGACTTTGAGTGATGGATCTCTTAAGCCAGACATGAAGAAGCCCTCAATACACTACACTTTCAAACCAAGTTGTTGATTTTTCATGTTCAGTTGATATACACATTTCTCTTATTTTACGTAAGCGTGAACATGATTATATCAAGTCAAAATTAAGGACAGAAGGAGCTCCATAGAACTAGATTATAGGCAAGGACCAGTATAATCATGAACTGCAACATCCATATCTTGGTTATTTAAGCATGTTGCTTTTCACAGTAAAAGTTATCAAGCAAATATTTGATTTCATAACTAATTTACTGAGTGTTTCGGCCATTAAATATCTCCACTGCAGATATCAAGTAATTTAGTAATATTTTTCAACCATATGAGAACCGACAACCCAAGAATTCCAAGAAGTGAAGACTGTCCATCAGACAAGAACAATGGTCAAACAGTTGTACCAGGCTATTTGTGCATCATTCCTGCAGTACTCAAGAAAGATGAGAACAACAGGAAAGTAGTGAAACAATTAAATTAGCTCAAGACAAACTCTTTTGGCCTTTTTAGTTTCATTTGTCTATTATGTCCAACTAAACAAAAATACTATGTTTATTGAAGGAGCAGTCAAGATGATATCTTACCGGGGGAAATGTATATTGAACTCGTTTGCCAGGAGGAATTGTCAATTCCCGGGTGTCAAGATGCTCAACTAGACAAATGCCCCCCTCGAGCTCTGTGGTCACTTGGACCTTCAAAGAACACTCTGCAACCCAGGAACTTTTATTTTCTAATTCTGTAGTAGTGTGCAAATATACCCTCTTTAGATTATCAAAGAAAGATGAAACCAAGTGGGGGTCAGATATCTTCACCGGCTGCAATCAGCAATGGAGCTGATCAGTACAAAAGTTACAAACAGACCTGATTGTAAATTAATAAAATTCCTTAAGAGAAAAAAAAAATACTCATATGAAATAGATCCATCAGTTTTTGGGAATAGAAAGATTATGAAACTGAATCCTAGAAATCAATTTCAATAGTAGTTTGAAGGTAAAAGGGCAGTAAATTAATCATTGAGGGGGTGATGAAGACGGATTATCTTTAAAAAAATATTTGAGGTCATAATTCACACCAAGTCGAGAGTATTAATCATAGGGATGTGTGGCTGGAAACCAAATATGCACTGAACAGTCATGGAAATTTGAAAGTTACACCAAGCAAGCAAACGATCTTAAACATATGACATTGCATGTTTTAATATGTTCTCTGTATCCCAAAAATGAAAAGCCACTAAAGGGGTTGATATTAAAATTTGGGAATATTAACACAGAAAGACAATGAATAACATAAAAAGAAGACCAGACAATTTTGGCAAACAAAACTTACCCCAGTGACAGTGATGGAAACCTCATCCCAGATGCCTGCGTTTCTATCCCTGTGAAATTTTAAGAAAAACATCAGGAGTAAACATACCTATTTCCATTCATCAAAAAGAGCTTTAATTGATAAATATTAAGAAAGAAAGTTTACTGCTCTAAGAGAAGAGCAAAAGCGAGGAAAAGAAAAGACACTTATTGTAAAAAAAATTACAATAAATAATAATGACTACTTGTTGAGCTAGTAAAACAAGAAATAATCGCATGTTTTATTTTTCTAGTTTTCTATTCCAGGAGTTCTTTGTCCTTTTATGGATCTCAGTGTATTTTAATATACATTTCATTCTTATGTTCAACAACTATGAGCCGAAGTCATTTATGTAACCCAAAATAAGGAAACTAACCTCATTTATTGTGTTATTAAATCAAAGCCCTATAATTTAACATCATCTAAGAGTTTTATATGAAAAGTAACATAAACAACATTGTAATGGGCATTCCTGTTGACAAATTGAACTCACCGTATAGGAGCCATCCAATCCCAACCCTCAACATATTGAGCAGCCACATCCTGTCCAATCTAACATGCACGAAACATGATGTCAACAGCATACATTATCCTCAAAGAAATGAAAAAGGAGAAGTTAGAAACATTTAAACAACCTTTTATAAACACGATGGCTGCTAATATTTTGAAATACCAAAACAGTATAACCAAAATCTAACAACTGCAATGAACTCACGAACAACCAAATGAATTACAGGAAGACACGAGTGGAGAAAGCACTGAAATGGCTCAATCTATGGTGAGTCTGTCAAATGAAATCCTAAATGTGTTTTTCATTGTGTTCTAAACATTGTTGTAGTATGAGCACCCAAACTGCAAAGTCAATTAACATTTCTCCATCCAGATAGTTATAGATACTGAATTTGCAATGAGTTATATACATAAATGAATTCATGCCAATGTGGATCATTTTGCATGCTCTTATACTCAATAGAGAAAGATAAGCATGAGAATAAATAACTATGGCAAGATGCTTAGGCTCATCTGAAGATGACATGTCTTTATTTACCTCGCAAGGCAAATATTCTTTGATTATAATTTTATTCTGAAGATGAAATGCCATTTCCCTTCACTCCAGACAAATATTCTTTTATTATGACTTGCTTATTTAGTATTAAGTCTGACTTAATGTGTATGCCACTTAGGATCACATTAAATTGCAGCTAAGCATGAATTAGCAGAGAATACCCACCCCATGATCACCACCTTGGCCACCTTGAGGAGGAATGCGGCCAGGATTATCAGGAGGGTGAACGAGAACAGCAAGGTAGTTTTGGCCATCAGGATGTAGTATGTCAGTAATATCTAGGACATGCCTTCGAAACATTCCCTTTGACAAAACCTTCTTATGCCCATTCAGATATACCTCTGCAGAGTAATTGATTGCTCGGAAGTTCAAATCAACATGTTGATTTGCTGACTGAAGCATTAAGAAGGAAACCATAATGTTATGATTGCAAGAAAAAAAGCTGTCATAATGCACCACTGAAATGCTATAATTCCTCTAATTCCACAGAAAACAAAGATTTCGAAAAATAAAATAGCAAACTGAAAAGAACAACAAGTCATGTCATGTCATATAATCAGCAGATATATTTGTCAACCAAGAGAAAATGTTTTGTTAACAATGTCACAGAATGCATATAATAAAGAGAGACCCTATTTTTTCACATTCTCTACTTCTTAGTTTCCTTTTGGAAAACCTATAAGCATAGTGCAACTTTTAGCCAAAATATGTTGTAGGAAAAATGCTACATTTACTCTTTTGTTTCAGTGCCGTATCCGAATTGCACATGCATCAACACAACTCTTCTCTTAGTTCATTAAGCATTGACTACATTATTTTAGAGACATGGTAGTTGATACCTTTTTTTTTAGCAGGAACATATGAACCTTGAAAATATGTATGAATTTTTAGCTGAATTAGGAATTATTGATATTTTTTGGCTACCCAGAATGAGATGGAATTAAGGTAAACAATGTTTTTTTTTTTTGGCTAGCCATGTTGCTGTATCCTGCTCTTCATGACATGAGCAATCCGACATTCTGTATCTGTGCCTTACACAGAGACAAGTATCCATGTCCATGCAACAAACATGGAAGTAACCTGGTAAATTACAGTGTTTTTGCTAGGCATATGAAATTTAAGTTCAATTGATTAAAATTATAAGATAACATGCATCCTTCTAGAGCACAAACTCAGCTGTAAAGGAACAGGATGATTGGAGCGCCCTTCAACACAGACTGACACAATGGGGATGGAACCTGTGCAGGCAAAAAGGCACAGGGGGAGGGAGGGGGCATAGAATGTAATTTTGTGATGTCTGTATGTCTCTATATATTTGTACCTGGTGGCTAGTGCAAGATGATGGACACATACATTGTTATGCTTGCTTAGTTAAACAAGTCCTACTTGTCAGGGAAAAAAAAATCTAGTGGGATCAAACTCAGTGAGCATCAATCTATTTGGCAACTTTGCACAGGGATGTCTAAGAAAGGTCTGGGTTTATGGGATATCACGCCTCAAATGGTGCACACCCTCCCAATGGTCAAAATTAGAAATGAAGAATGAACAGCCACAAATTTATTTCGTTCTTCAGTATTTAATTCTTCTACATATTTTATTACATTGAAATTTAGGCGCTTACACTTCTCAATCAGGTGCACCTAAAAAATATCAAAAAANAAATAATATATATATATATATATATATATATATATAGTATAGTTAGTAGTTATAGTTAGTTATTAGTTAGTTAGTTAGTTAGTT